TACATCCCCTTACTTCTACAAGCGAAGCATTTTCAACAACAGCTGTGGAAACGGCAGTACGATTGGGATGAACCCCTCAACCAGCAAGACAAGGACACTTGGCTCACAATAATCAGGAGTGTAAGCGGATTCGCTAATAGAATATCTTCCTCGCAGGATCACCGATCTGAAAGGATCGTGTCGCTCGTCACCTATAGTGATGCGAGTTCCTTGGCGATGGCCGCCTGCACATATCTCTCCACTGAGAACGGATCTACAATGCTAGTGATGGCAAAGTCGAGGGTCTCGGACGCTCAAAAGGAAACAACAATAAATTCCATGTTCGGTTTTCTTGGAACCTGGGCATTTCGGATATTGTGTTGTTTCTTCTGTGCCATACAGGTTGTTATGGTGGAACACGTTTATTGGTCAACGTTTCGACAATTCGTCGTCTTCAGGACCTGAAACTGGTTCGAAGTCCTAGCTCTGTAGCTCACCCGGTAAGGCGCCTAATCTTACTGAGTTCCCGGAAAAGCGAAACAGTACAAAATAAACGATCCCAGCGAGCGAACTAACCTGTGGCGAGTCCACCAGTCTTTGCAGCCTCCTCTTCTTGTTAGTGAGCGAATAAAATGAGACACCATGGACAGTAAGCGTCCTACGTGTCGTATGTGGTGATCTCACAGTCCACATAAAGGAATGAAAGGCAAGAATTCATTGGTAATGGCCATGCATTCATTACGGTTGTTCAGTCTTGGATTTTTCACGCGGATATAAAACGCCTCTAACATTTTTCTAGCACCGATGTCGTTTTCGTAGGCTAGAATTTTGCATTTGATTTCAAAATCGTTACCCTGATGTCCCTCTACTCGGTGCTTGCCAAGTGGAGTAAGCAGATTTCCGCGCCTTTTTCCTGCCATATGTTCTTTAATGCGCACGCCTAGCATCCTGCCCGTCTCTCCAATATAAAGTCCGTCACAGGTTGAACATTGAAGTTGGTATACTATCCCTCGTTTCGCACAGTCTCCTTGCCTTCCATATGGGCAAACAACGCAGTTATCCGTCGTGCACGCGCGGTCATAGAGTCTATTGCGGATTAGCCGACGTTTGATATTGTCTCCTGGTATATTAATTTGCTGAAGTATACATTGAATTTCGGGCTCTCTCGTCAGGGGTGCTTGAAGTTCTCAACAGGCACAGGCACGAAAGGTTCTCAAACATTACGAACGCACAGTGGGAAGGATTTCATGAGATACGGGAACGCATAGCAAACAATGAAATCCGCCTCTCTGTAAGCGACAAAGGAGGAGAGTTCGTAGTTTGCCCTCGTATACTAGATCGGGAAAATTACTGAGCTCCACCTTAACGACACGTCTATTTATAGTCGCACTACAGAGAAAGCGTTTCTCATACAATGTCACAGGTTGAACGCATCATGGATATCAATTGGAAAATCAGCAGGATTAGCCGAAGGATTATCAAAGATTGAAGTTGGATACTCCTTCGTGCCCCGTGTTTTATAGCCTGATCAAAACACACAAGCTGTCGGATGGAGACGAGCACTCGGTTGATGCTAGCAATTACAAAATAAGACCTATAATCAGCTGTGTGGGTGGACCAACAGACCGCATTTCATGGTTTCTTACAAAAATTGTTGGTCAACTCATCCGATATGTACCCTCACACTTACCTAACACCAGAGATTTTCTTGATCGCCTACGTTCTTGTAGATTTCAAGAAAACTGTGTGGTAGAGTCATTTGATGTAACTGCGCTTTATACAAACGTGAACAATAATGAAGCTTTGCAAGCGCTCTCTGAAATGTTAGATGAGCATGGTGCAGAAATCGTAACGTTTGGATTGAGCAAAGTGCACATTATGAACTCTGATTAAGGAATGCCTGAACTGTAAAACATTTTCAAATGGTGCGGACAGTACTTCTCACAAAAAGCGGGGGCTTGCAATGGGGCAACGTCTAGCACCGGTCCTAGCTATCTGCTTTATGGGGAGAATAGAACGACCGGTGATAGCACGCATGCCCATTATGTACTGCCGATATATTGATGACTGCTGCGTAATTACTTCAACACAATTTGAAATGGATGAATTATTCAGCATACTCAATCAACAATCACAGTACATAAAGTTCACAAGAGAAGCTCCACACAATGGTTGGCTACCTTACTTGAACACACAGATAAAAATCTCGAACTGTACGTATAGTGTGAAGTGGTACAGGAAAAGCAGCTCAAAGAACATCCTACTCCATGCGAAGTCTGCACACCCCAGAGCTGTAAAATGTGCGGTTGTTCGAAACATGCACAGAACAGCAGTTGGAGTGTGTACAGGCGACGTGGAGCGAGATGAGTCACGAAGGCTAGCTTCCGAGATTGCAAGAGCGAATGGTTATGGAACGAGGAACGAAGAATCAGGCTCTCAGAGAAATGCCGCGAGAAATCGCGAAGGTTCACGAGGGCGTTCCGCGAGGAGTCGCGAAGAGATGGCGCACCTCCAGTTGCCTTTCATATCGGATAGAATTAGCATGGCTATACGGCAGTGCATTGCACGGGCGGATCTAGCTGATGAAGTCGTTTTGATTAATATACCAGGAGACAATCTTAAGCGTCAGCTAATCCGCAACAGACTCTATGACCGCGCGTGCACCACGAATCACTGCGTTGTTTGCCCATATGGAAGGCAAGGAGACTGTGCGCAACGAGGGATAGTATACCAACTTCAATGTTCAACCTGTGACGAACTTTATATTGGAGAGACGGGCAGGATGCTAGGCGTGCGCATTAAAGAACATATGGCAGGAAAAAGGCGCGGAAATCTGCTTACTCCACTTGGCAAGCACCGAGTAGAGGGACATCAGGGTAACGATTTTGAAATCAAATGCAAAATTCTAGCCTACGAAAACGACATCGGTGCTAGAAAAATGTTAGAGGCGTTTTATATCCGCGTGAAAAATCCAAGACTGAACAACCGTAATGAATGCATGGCCATTACCAATGAATTCTTGCCTTTCATTCCTTTATGTGGACTGTGAGATCACCACATACGACACCGTAAGGAAGCTTACTGATCCATCGGTGTCTCGTTTAGACAAGGACACTTGGCTAGCAATAATCAGGAGTGTAAGCGGATTCACTCATAAAATTCCTCGCAGGATCACTGATCTGGAACGATCGTATTCGCTCGTCACCTATACTGATGCGAGTTCTTTGGCGATGGCTGCCTGTACATATCTCTCCACTGAGAACGAATCTCATCTAGTGATGGCAAAATCGAAGGTTTCGGACGCTCAGAAGGAGACAACAATCCCAAAACTAGAGCTCAACGCCCTTACAATAGGAACGCGATTGTCTATCAACGTACTTCGGAGTCTGTTACCTGTTATACACATTTCTCGCATCCTAATCTTATCAGATTCGGAAATAGCACTGAAGTGGATCTCGTCACCAATTCATCGCAGCAACGGTGTCTTCGTAGCGAACCGAGTGAAAGAAATCCGGAGAATCGTAGAAGAGCTTGCTACATTGGGAGTCTCTGTGCAGTTTGGATATATCGAGACCGCGAATAATCCTGCAGACTGCGGTACAAGAGGAGTGTCATCCAAGGACTTCGCAACTCATAAATGGTGGACAGGATACACGCTCAAAGAAATCAACGAAAGTCGTGTCATGCGTAACACCGTCACTATGCCAGAAGAAGATGGAGAGGAAATAATGGAGTCAGTGGATGTTCACACAATACAGACATCGGTCTGAACTCGAAATCAACGACGTCATAGACCTCAAAAGGTTTAGTTTTCTCACGAAAGGCGAAAAGGTCAATGGCCTATGCTCTGCGATTTTTGAAGAAACTGTGCTCACGCGTTGAAGGAGAATTACAGCGCAAGCTGCAAGATCACCTTCCGTGGCTTGGACACGTTGTAAAAGGAAGTTCCTTGTCAGCGACAGACATGCTTGATGCACATCACGTTCTCTTGAGGAACCATCAAATGGTACACATCAACACGCTCGTACAGGAATGCGCTATCGAAGAACTTGAATCTGAAGGAAGACAATACTAGGCTTCTTGCGAACTTACGGACGTCTTAATAAATCTGATCTCGATCCAACGGCGAAAAATCCTATCTTCATCGTATGATCATTTCGGAAGCTCATGGGATCCACCACAGGAGCACAGCGCACACCATGTCCGAAGTGCGACAAAGATACCAAGATTACGAGAGCAAGTCAAAAAGTGCATACACCAGTGTGTGCCCTGTCAGAAGGCTAACAGCTTGCCATTCAAATATCCCCAGATGACAGACATTCCTGGATTCCGTGTTACAAAAGCACGACCGTTTCAACACATCGGCTTGGATTACTTTGGTCCATTGACAGTTTTCCGGGAAGACATGGTCAAGTACTCAGTCTACGGCTGTATATTTACGTGCGCTGTAACAAGGATGCTTCATCTCGAGATAGTGCCAGATGGAACTACAGAGAAATTCCTTAACGCATTCAGACGATTTGTTGCCAGACGTGGAAAGCCAGATACGGTGACTTGCGACAATGCACCAACATTCCTATTGGGCAGCCAGATCTTGAATGAATCGACTCAAACGAGGGAGGCAGATGAAGAAGTGGAGAAATTGATGAGTAACGAAGGGATAGAATGGCATCACATAACGCCCTACTCGCCATGGAAGGGCGGATTCTACGAGCGTCTCATAAAATCAGTAAAAAGCTCGATGTACAAAACTATAGGACGGCGAATTCTTACCATGGAACAGCTCACGACCTTGCTTGCTGAAGTAGAGGCATGTCTCAACACACGTCCATTAACCTACCAGGAGACGGACTACGAAGACAACGTACTTTCCTTGCGACCGATAGACTTCATTCAAAATGGAATGACTATCAATATTCCGTTCGACTTTTTGAATGAAGATCAAACTGATCCATCATACATTCCTCCTAGCGAACTTCCTCGGTTCAGGACACGACTACAAGTTGTAAATGCTTTGAAGTCATCGTGCGCATTAACGGAACGTTTTTGGAAAGTGTGGAAAAATTCATACTTAACCGCACTACGAGAACAGCACCGCCGTGATATCGACAACAAAAGAGGTTCTTCAAACCAACCGAACGAAGGAGAAGTTGTATTGATAGTGGATCCATGCCAAAAAAGAGCCTTTTGGAAACTTGGCCGGATAGAAAAACTAATCCATAGCAGTGATGGCGCCGTACGAGAAGTTGAAGTCAGCAGTGGACGAAATAGCCTCCGACGGCCGATCAATCAATTGGTTCCTCTAGAAATCCACGATACTCAAAACCGCGCTCATGATAATAATACTGCTGGCAATGTCGACTCAGGGATGCAGAGGGATGATGAGGAGCAAGCAGATCAGAAGAGAGCACGGTACAATTTTCGTCCAAGAGCAAACCGTCCGAGAACAACGCGTCCACCCATCTCGACAGAAGAGGTCACCATCGACCCGCCCATGACGAGACATGCCAGTTCGAACTCAAGAACCAGCACGACTTGTTTGCAACTCTTCATGGCAGTCGTCATGACTGCAGTGGTGCTGGACGACGAACTCCATCTTTACACAACCAAACATCGATCTGCCAGAACCACACTTGATAGAATGTCGACCAGAAGGAGTTTACCTTCATTCTCCAAGTTCATCGGCATACGAACTCTGCGTGAATGACTACTGTGTTGCGGATCATGCCCCACCCATACACAAAGTGATACACGTTCCTACACGATACCTTCTTCATGAATACGATGCGCAGTGGAAAGTCAGGGAAGGAGTAAACTTCTCAGTGATTGAGACAACATGTCCAGCTCAACCTTTCTGTGGATCTATCAAATGTACGTTCTGCTTGGAAAACGTTCTTAATCCGGAGTGCTGGCCGACGGCAGCGATTGTAGGCGCAGGAGTATTGTCCTACCTTCTAATCGCATTATGTTACACCATCTGCTATGTACCAGTGACAATAGGACGCCCACTCCGCCTGCTCTGCAAAGGAATCCGCTGTGCTTGCTGCACACTTGGGAGCTTGTTGTTCGAATGTATTCGATACATGGTTTTCAACTTGCGAAGGCAACGAACTCATCACTCAAGGCGGCTACTAGAAGCATTGGCTGTTTGCGGACTCTTAACAACTGTCTGGACGTGCCAGACAGTCAATGTCTTCTCACATGAGCTGAAGAATTGCGTCACAACATCAGGACGGACAATATGTAGCATAGAAATAGCATCTGTTCTGAAAGTGAATTCGTTCAAAAGAGAAGCCTGCATCCGGCTGCAGCACAATGGTTCCACCGCTATGGAAATCAGATTTGACTGGATCGGATTGCGCCTGCTGTGTGAAAAGGGAACAACGATGTACACACGAAACGTAGTTCAGAAAGTCATTGATAGCAAGAGATGCGCCCGTATGGGATCTTGCATTGAAAACAAATGTGCGAGCATAAATTCTACAAGCATGCTCGAGGAGCTTTCCATTGGCAACCAATTCCCAGGAACAACCTACTGTCTGGAATCTTGTGGCGGACTAGGGTGCGGTTGCTTGACTCCAAGCTCGGGATGTCTCCTGTACCGAATTTACGCTGTTCCTGCAGATGACGAAATCTATGAACTCTTCAATTGTGTGAAGTGGCAGGAAGAAGTCAAGCTAAAAGTGCAATTGAGAAGACACAAGGAGCGTAAATTCATGAGCTACGTACTCGCGTTAAGACCGAACGTACCAATCCAACTACCATCCATCAAGACGACGCTCAGTGTACTCTCATGGCAGTACTTCAAGCTTCTTGAAGCAACATTCGTCAGACGAAAAAACGCAACTGCCCTTTGGACTCCTTCAAAATCGCCATTACTGCAATGCTCGTCAAAGGAGAGAGCAAAATCGTTACAGTGCTCACTTCTGCATTCATGTGACTGCACCCCAGCAGAATCCCAAGTAACGTGTCGCTGTGAAAATCAGGACATTGCAGAAGAATTTCATCAAATAGGAAACGTTCTGCCGGTAACATACCCATTTGTGAAGATGGCTAATCATCCGCACCACGATGTGATAGCACATATTGAGCACGGCGTAACGGCAGAGCTTGTTGTGAACGTGAATGAGACAGTAGACAACATTGTAACCGAAGTTACGGATGAAGTCTGCTATATTGCAAACACACACATATACGGATGCTACAGCTGCAAGGAAGGAGCAAGAGCCAAAGTAACTTGTTTCTCATCGGAAAGCACCTTTGCTGAATTGGATTGTGGAACCGAAACTTTCACCATTCCCTGTTCACCTATGAAGGAAGAATCCACGCTTCGCTTTCTGATATCAAATGCTCAAGTACAACTAAAGTGCTCCGTCACTTGGAAAATCGCCAACATACTTTGAGATCAATGGCATCCTCAAATATGTACATTCACTTCACGATGGACTCAAGCAAGTGAGTATACCAGCGCACAATGTAACTTCGGACTTCGACTGGCCCGATTTAGGCCACATCCTGCAAGTGTACTTACAATGGTATAAGACAGCGGCAGTAACATTTCGCCTTTGTTGGCCTAGCGCTACTAATCAGTTATCTCTATCTGGCAGCGGCATGCAAGAAGATTTTGTGCACCATGTTCAGATTATGTCTGTGCACCGCAAGACGTGTCATTCGACTTCCTGTGTACGCTGCATGGCTAGCAGTACAGTGCTTGTGGAAAGATCACCCTACAGCACAGAAATTGCCAACAAAAACGCTTTGAATTGCTTCGCGGAACTAATTCGCATGCAAATTGTAAATATGGTTCGATTACTTATCTATCCACTTCAGTACAATGGACAAAAACGACGACTCCCTCGAAGAGCAAATCAAGAAGCGCAAGGCTGAAGAAAAAAGACTGATCGAACAACTTCGACTGAAACGTGCGTGCGTTCGGCTGATGCCCACCCTACCAACAGAAGGAGAGGTACAGAAAAAGATAAAGAAGTTTTTGGAACTCATCCTCACCATCACACGGTCGAATAATCTAGCAGACGAAAGCGCCGAATTATTCGGACAAAGACTCACACTTTTGCGAGGAGGGAAGGAACCTTGTACAAATGCAAGGTTCAAAACATACAAATGAAGGTTCAGTTCGTCAAGGAGCGAATCCTGAGTGCAGTACAAGGAATGGCAATGTGCAATGAGACTTATGGACTACTAATCTTAGCAAATGTTGCCACTGAAAAATCAAAGGAGAAGTTCTACGACCAAAAGCACGACGGTATTCCACTAGAGCCAGCGTTTGTGAATGAATTCGTTGGGAAAGAAATCGATTTCTTAGATGAGCTTTTGCGTAAAATCGATACCGAGTTGCACGAGGCCTCACAGCAGATAGCCAATGAGGATCACGGAAGCATCTATGAAAACGTCCTGCAAACCATGGCACAGTTTCAGAAAAGTATGGATCAGTTGGACAAGAGTCTGAATTCCCAACTACAACAGCAAGGAGAGACACTGGCACGATTGGACTCTCCATGGAAGCCATCCAGAAAGAGTTCGAAGAGTTTCAAATCAATGACGAGAGCGTTGACGAAGTCGACAAGAAGATGCCAATGAGGACACTCAAAGCAAACGTTCCGATGATGATAGCATATTGGAGGACCTTTGGGAAGTTGGCACCGAGGACGCCACTCCTCCTTCAGAGAATGACAAAGGCAAAACACACGAAGAATCTCGAAAGGAACAAGGCGAAGACGGACGGAAGAATAAGGAGTGTAACGACGATGGACAAGACTCAGAGACGGAAAGGATTCGTAAGCCTGCAACGACGTCGAAGGAAAATAACGGAGCGAATGGAGAAAATACTGAGGAAAATCAGCGATAGAAGACTTCCCCCAAAGCGCATTTTCACCATGAGGAATCAAATGAGGAAAGGAGAAAAATTTCTGAAATGCTCCTTCTGCAACGTGAAAGGACTTCATTATAGCGACAGTTGTCCTGAGTACAGAAGTGTTGAAGATCGGACAGAAAGGATAAGGTGCAAATTGTGCCTTGACACGAAACATCGAACGAAGAGATGTAAAAAGGATGTCCACTTGTGCAAGTACTGCCAGTCAGCAAGGCATCATACTGCACTATGTTCTCTTCCGCAAGAAAGAGGTGAGTTAGAACTCGAGTACTCGGAGCTCACCAAGATATTACAGTCAATCAATGAGGATGGTGAGCTCTCGAGGAAGCGAGAATGTTCAACAGCGCCGCGTGATGATGATGTTGACCGCCCGTCAACATCTCGGAGGGCGGAGTATCACGAACGTGATTGAAGTGATCGAATTGTTGTCGTGATTGTGCTATTGTACTAGGGTTGTAGATTAGCGGGCTATTCAGATTTGTTGTTATTGAGGAATTCATTTTTATAGGAAAATCATCAATCGATAAGTGTTAGTAACCAGAAAATCTCTTATGTTGTTAACTTAGAAGAAATGTTGCATTCTTGATGGAAAACTGATAAGAAGGATATAAATAGGGGCGTGACAGGCAGAGAGGCAGTCGAGCTTGGCAGGCAAGCCAGCAAGAGGAGGTGCAACACTCGAAGGAGGTGCAAGATTACTGTAGCCGTTGATTTTTGTAGAATTTCGTTTTTTTGTCAGAAAAATTACTTAAAATTGTAT